CGGCGGAGATGCAGGACGCGTTTTGGCGTCTACTGGTAGCGGCTGGCGATGACATCAGTAGTTTACGTCAGCACTTATTGCATCAGTTCGGGCGCTAAATATTAAATATCAAATGTTCGCATTCACGCTCATCGGAACGTTCTTCCACTCTTATGTTAATTTCCTCAGACAACCGCCGCGACATGAAGTCGAGAATCGATCATTTGCGCATGATAATCAATTCAAACGTGTGCACGAAGGTCTACCTGTGTAGTATAAATGGAAGTCCCCGGCAGATGTGTTGCAAGGTGAACCGTATCCCCCCATCGACACCAATACGACGCCAGATGAACTCATGCAAAATTAACTATACAGGCTCGTAAGCTTTTGATATCCACACCTGTCCACGCGTCGACGGAATAATTGGCAACGCTATGCGCCCATGATAGGGCGTACGTATGAAGCAATTGGGCTGCTCCGCCTGCTGTCGCTTTCGCGTGCCAAGACGCTCCGGTAGTAATCTTACCCAATCGAAGGATCCTTAACCATCGAGTACTACTCATACTCCATGCGGTGTCCTCCACTACCAGGCCCTGCGCCCGCCGACGTGGAGTCGTCTATTTGACACCGGAAAGCCCTATTGAAGCTGTGGCAAGGCACAGGGTGTTCTTAACACGACCTGTATCAGCCTCTGGATCTACGTATCTGACGTGCAGATAAACAGGATTGTTTAGAGTCCATATGAGTGCGCGGCCTTGATCACGGCGCCGCGTCAGCTGCATGTCCAATCGTCCGCCGAAGGCGATAGACGGGCCCCTAATGGGAGGGGGCCGTGATGCCCATCTGTCATGTCCCCACAGAAGGCTGATATTTGTGCATAGAGTTATGATCGCTGAATGTTCATCAATCAATGAACTGATGACCTCCGCATTCATAGTCTATTTCATAAGCTTCGACCCTCAGAAGCTTCAAGGCCCCGGCTCGCTGTTCAAACTTCCGAGCTTGACTCTTCTAGCGTATCAGCTCGTTGAACCATACCACCCCTTGAAGCCATGCTGTCCGATGCTAGCGACTCCTTGTCTATCTTGCGTACGATGTATGGTGCCACACTGGTGGGGACTCTTGTAGGCGTCTTGTGCGTAGACTCTCGCGCTCTCAAAGAACGCCACTGCTGATGTAGCGTCAGCCTGTCGGGCATTGTCTCTGCACAAGTCTACATGTACACCCGTGTATACTCGAACGACCGTATCGGGGTGAAGTGCATGGTAGGTCCTCATTCACGCTTCTGTTCATATCTCACTCGCTTTACACTCAGGTCGCCCTAGTCTGGTGCGTATAAATCTCATGGGATTCTAGTATGAGTACATGACCGCCCCCATAGGGTTATGGATTTGTTACACACCTGCCTGATCTGCGTGGCGAGCTGGATGGATCTGGTCGAACGCTTCGGCGATTGGGATCTGGATCGAATTACCTGGTACGCGTTGTCTGCAGGTTTGGATATTGGCCGTGCTAATTCCACGGTCCGTTCGAAGGAGTGTTGGGGCTTCAGTCGCCCTAACTGTACGTTGTACTGCATGTCTCATTTTTTTCCGCAGCGCCTGACTGACCGGATCAGGCCCTTGTGACTTTTCTTGTTCACTGGTAAGCTTTACGTTCGCGCAGAGGAGATGTAACGAAAATGAATACCGCGATGCTAGTTTCCTCATCTACCGAATTTATATGAGTGAGCATCCTCCTGCTCTCATCTAATCCCGGCGTGCCTCGCTCATCGTATTTGCAGTAAGCAATGGTAACTTGTATTTGACTGCTCCCTTGGTGCGTTCTTTGCTGTAAGTAAATATGCTGGCTAACCATGTGCGCAGGCAGTACTGGCTTTTTTTCGCTTGGGTAAGTCGCCGCTTGTCTTCGGCACTTCCGATTGACTGACTGTAGATCATTCCAGTGGCAGCCACGAGTAAGAAACTCCGAGCAACGATTCTTGGTCTTGTACTCACCTGCAACACTTAGTATCTACATCAGAAATGTGAGTACAAAAACCGTCGTCCAAGCGCATTGTTCATACGCGGCCTCTAAGGATACGACTGTCAAGTTATCAGGGGTTTGTACACCAGTATGGCGTAGGTTGGGGACTTCAAAATGCTTCACATTGTTAATAGCGCCTCAGTACGTCTTCACCATGGGCCTGGGCTCTGCGGTCGCCTTGGACATAGTGATTACTGCGGCGATGTGCTTCTACCTTCGACGCAGCAAGTCTCGGTTCTCGACGTACGTGATTTCCTCTGCGCCGTCCCGTCATACTCATATATACATCCAGGATGAACGACGTCATCGATACATTGATGCTATATACGGTAGAGACTGGGATGATCACTTGGTAGGATCTCGGGGACGAGTTCAGATTTTTTATCCAGCTGACGCCGGTGATTATTAGCGTCACCACGATCGCGTCCTTGGCATGTGTGAGTTCTGCCTTGGAAAGCCGAACGTGCTGCGAAGCTAATAACACACCTGTAGTGGGTCACTATGCGCAAGAACTTGATATTTCTCGGTCTTCACTTCACCATCAGCAAGTGTATGTGCTATCTCTGCTGCCGCGCGGGTCCCAGTGGTACTCATTCCGGCTCTTTCATTCCAGTGTATGCCAATTCGTTCCTCGCTATGTGAACGCCATTCCCACTCGCCGCGTTGAGTAGCGCTAACGGTTCGCAAAGCTTGAATTCCCGTGTCACGCTCGGAGCAGGGCGCTGCACATCCGGCGCTGCCGATAAGCGTCTCCCGATCATGCTCAGCGATCTCAGCAAGGCGTCATCCTCTGTGAGTGCCGTCATGGCTGCGGTGGACACACTTTACTGATGTTCCGGTAGACAAAGTGGCAGAGGACCGGCTCCTCAGCGAACAAAGCGGTAAGGCGCGTCGTAAACTGTTCGCTGCTTGCCTGACCAGGATTGTGGCCAGCTTGAGATCAACGTTGAGACGACGGTTGACATATCCCCGGACGAAACACGCTCTCCCCGGGTCCGTCGTGAAGCCTGGGATGAGGACATCTGCCATCTCGAGGAACTCAAAGACGTCAGTGTTACATTCGGGCGCGCAAATGCCATCCCGTGATCGAGCCGCGACACGCAGACAACCTCAGCTACTTCTACGGGCAACACCCAAGACCACCAATATTTATTTAACTCTCCGGGAGCTGTAAACGAAAATGCGCAGTCGCACGCGCATCAGCGTAAGGGGAAACGATAGCTAATAGCCTTATTAAATAACATTATACACGGGTATTGGGTATCTTTTTGGCTGATTCCATCCGCATGTCGTACTCTACTTCTTCCCCAAGGTATCGATCTCGTCCAGTGTGTGGCTCTCATAGTCAGAATCTAGTTGACTGATATGTGTCGGCACCCTCTCAACTAGCTCTTCGGTCCTCACGGTGACCGTAACCTGTCAAGGCCGTGGGTCAGCATTCCGCACTCGCTTTTGCCATTGTTGACGTACGTGGGGACGCTCAGAATCGTTTTCAGATGCGCTACTAGTAGCAAAGCGCAGCTGTGATGCAATGGCCGCTCATCAGGGACATGAAGCGACCGACGGCAGGATCGACGTACATTTTTTGTGCCCACGTCTACAACCACGTCGCTGAGCTCTGCAGACATGCGTGCTGCAAGATCGCTGCGGGAATTGAGACTGGAGATGACGGAATTCGTGTACCTGGAGCAGACCAATGAGCTTCCGAAGGCCATTGAGTGAGGTTGTACGCACAGCTTCACGACGCCGTAGTTGAAGATATAATGTATGCCTAACGGCTTGTGTGTCCCATGTCAGAACTGTTGGAGGTAGCGCTGGCAGTATGCTTACCGTAGATAACCATGACACGATGTGGCCTATCGTGAATGAGGCCGTCAGCAGTCCATTGGAGACCGTCGCTGTCCATGGGCCGTTAGCGTGACACTTTTCGTCAGCGTTATAAAGCTTACATCGTATGATGAGTCGGAGTGCGTTGTCGGTGCGCCTGAATCCCGTCTTTTGCTTACTCTATATGGTATCTCTGGCATCAAGGAGGGCTGACTCGCAAAATAGGTGAATCTGGCTTACAAGGTATACACTCAGGATCGTTGCAATTGAGATATCGCAGATGGTGCAGGATATGAGCCATGTCAGCCCAATTTCCTGCGCATAGTCAGCATTTAGCTGGGGAGAGAACAAGTGACTGACCGGTATGGGTTTGGTCTGGAGATCCGAAAACAAAGGATGCACATCAACGGCGATTGCAGAGCCAATAGCGGCGACTAGAGGTGCGAAATTATAAGCTAGATGACCGGATACATGGGAATTTGAGGACAGACGTACACCCAGAGATGCATGAGGTCAAGACAATAAGCCCGACGAGCCATCGTTTCCTGACCAGAATCCAGATTCTCCGGGCATAAAATAGCTGAGCCATCATGGAGAGGACACCCTGTTTGAACTGAGTCCCGACGCTGAAGTATATACAAGAGAAAAAGACACACTGAGAACGCATGTTCCGAGGCCTGCACTGCTCAAGCAAAGTAGTTACAATCGTTGTCAGTCCTCCAGCATCTTTGTGCACACCTGTACAGTGTACTCACGCCAATTGGCTCTCGTAAGGGCGTTAAAGTTACCTGTGGTATTCGCTTTAGAGATTTGGCTGGTATGTTTCGTGCGGAGACGCACCAAAATTATTGATGACGACCGAATAAATCCAGGCAATATTGAACGCCGTGTTGAGGGTATCAGCCAAGATCAGGAGACCGACCTGTAAACCCGCTCAGCATGGGCACATTCACAGCATGGGTTGCTTGTGACGTACGTAGATTTTCAGCCGTAACGGATCTCTGATGTGTATGTCAGTGTACCTATATCGGAGGTAGACAAACGACTGAGACATGCCTCGGGTATTTGACATAATAGATCTGCGCTTGGACCAATACAACGCCGTACAGTCTGCCGACTGTCAACAAGCGCGTGACACCACTTGGACGAAAGGACTCACAGAACGTTGAGGAAGATACCGAGCAAGCAGGGACCTTGACTGAAGGACGTGTCAGCCATGGTACTTCCTAGATTGCAATGGACCCGCGAATACTCACACTTCTCGAGCGGTGGTCAGGTCAGGCCCGTAGTCGAGAGCCATCGCGCGGAGTTCAAGACGACACAGCGAAAGCGGGCGAGGGCGGAACAGCTTGTACGGGCGGCTTCAAGGCTACTTATATGATTGCTTCGTGGCGCGCGGTGATACGCACACGAATCGTCTCGCCTAAGTGGCCCCTGCCGCCACACGGCAACATTGAATTATGACATCGAAGGGCCGCTAGCCGCTGCTGCCTGGAGGAAGTCCGATAGACGGGCCATCGCGAGCCGAACCCGGCATCCAGTAATTCATCATATCCATACACGGAGCGACCACCTGCGTTGCAGAGAGTCATTGAGAGCCACACATCATGCGCCGGTCAGCAATCACCGCCCAAGGGCGCGGCCGCCCCAACTAACAGCTGGAGCATGTGCGAATATAGCCGATCCTTGCATCAATGCATAGTAGGTCCGCGGAAATTCCGCAATTCGGCTCCTACTTCGAGAACATGATGCGTGTCGACATTGCAATTGAGACACATACATGAAAGGACGCATTTGATGCTCACATCAGCCGAAATAAAGCGCCATTTACGTATTGCGTTGACGACGCGCCTTCCCTAAATTACAAGCTTGTCGCCGGCCTTCTCTTGTATCGTTCTAGAAAAAGCTGCCCATCGATCTCCGGAACCCGGGGAGTAGCGCAGAAGCCCAGCTTGTTGTCCAGTTGATTTCCTTGAGCCCGTAATATGCTCGGCTGCTGTCAGACCTGAACGCACGAGATGTTAACGGACTCGCGCCCACCACTCTCACACCGACAAAGCCAATATCTCCTGAAAGCGGGTGGGAGTATGCCGGACGATAACTGAGGCTGGACATCATGAAGTCGATGTGCCTTAAATGCGATCAGCGTTATCAAGCGCGTCTTTGTTGGCTTCTGCACAGCCTTGCAATGCCGTAGTGGAAGACTATGTGGATGCCGGTGTGCTGCGAATATGACAATGAAGATCGCCCTGAGTGACCGAGCTCACTAAAGTGAGAGGCTACGTGCGATGTATTGACAGTAAGCATGTGTTCCGTGGAAGGCAGAATGTGTCGCGCCAAGTATACGACATGTACAACGGCGATAGCGACATCGCAGGTGGTACCCAAAATAAGCCAGGGGAAAGCGGTAGCTGTATCGTCAGCGGACCATGAAATTGCAGCGAAACGGCCGATGTCAAGAGCCTTGAAGCCCGAGATGTTTGGGCGAAGCGCTATGTTGATGGCCGTCCCGATGGCACATGCATGTGAAGCGCAAAAACCCTCTAGCTCTTGGTCAGCACCTGACTGTGAAAGAGCCAGATCGTCACCTTCACGGCCTCTCTGAGAACGCACGAGCTTACCGCCGTGGTTCCTTCTGTAGGCGGTAACTAGGGTTCCCGTTAATAGCGGCTACAGTTTTGCAGAAGCATGGGTTTCTCACCTGACTCAGAGACTGTAGAAGCAGCGGAACAATGAGTGCGCACGGAGCAAGGGATGGAAATGTCACCCACCCTGTCCGCCCGCGTGAGAGGAGCGGGGCCATCTTGGGGGCGATCCCCGGCACAGAGGGAGAGCTACGAGCAAGGCGCCTACCGATAGAGTGGGATTTTATAGATCTAAGCAATACCGAACGCGCTCTTCAGAGTGCCCGCAAGGAGTAGGGCCCCAAACCCTCAGACACGCCTGGGTAATCCCCAAGCCCTCGTACGATTCACGTGGACTTTCGTCTACAACGGACCATTGCAGCGGCGACCTCAAGAACTCCTGGCAATGATCGGGGGGTAAGCTTATTTTCGGAATGTTGCGTGGCAGCGTGATATGTATGCGCCTGTACGACTAGTACCACGAAGTGCCATACAGTCTGTAAGGACAGACCGTACGCGTAAGCTCAAAGCCCTCTTTAGAGAGCTTGATTCAGCTCACCAGATGCAGGCTTTTTTACGGGGATGACTGATGCTGTTGCACCTGAGCGTCGGGGCACGGAACGATGATGGCAGGAAGGCGCTTAGAGAGCCGAGCGGCGCACCGGCACCTCGTTTTGGACGAGCGCTCGAGGGTGCAATCCTCCCCCGTCATTCTCAAGCAGGGAGCGGCTGCATGTGCAAAATACGGTTTTTGCTGGTGATATTCAGGTGATATACCCAATTCAAGTAGTCCGCAAGGTGCCCATGACATCCAATGCCTGAGTTTAGCACTTGTGATCTACTAGTCGGCCGTTATGGACCGACCCTCTCTCGGCCAGCTACTGGGTCTTTGCCATGGCAGTAACCTGTCGACACGTGGATGAGCGCATGGTGCTTGCTCTACTTCTGTTCACGTACGTGGGGATGCTCAGGAGTGATTTCAGATGTACTCGCAAAGCGCAGCTACAACGCAGCAGTCGGTTATCAGCAGTGTGAAAAGACCGACGGCAGGGCTCACGCACTACATCTGTCGCGCCTACGTCCACGATAGCCTCACTGAGCTCTGCGGACATGCGCGCTGCAAGCTCGTCGCGGGAATTGAGGCTTGAGATGATTGAGTTCGTGTACCTGGCGCAGTCTAATGAGCTGCGAAAAATTGAGTCAGTTCAAGTTTGTACTCACAGCTTCACAGCGCCATAGTTGAATATGTAATGTATACCCGATGGCTGATACGTCGTGTTAGAATGTGCTTGTTGGGATCAGCTTGGGTATGTGATACGCTCACCGTAGACAACCACGAAACCATATGGCCTATGGTAAACGAGGCCGTCAACAGTCCATTAGAAACCGTTGCTGTCCGCGGCCATCAGTACAGTACGTCGTGCCGATCTGGTGGAGCTTACATCGTATGATGCCTCGAAGCGCATTGTCGGTGCGCTTGAATCCTGTCTTCTGCCGATTCTATACGGCGGTCGTCATAGTTGAGAATGGTGATACGTATAACAGCAGATTATTCGGCTCACAAGATATATGCTCAGGATCATGGCAATTGAGATATCGCAGACCATGCATGCGATGAGCCATATCAGCCCCAAGGCCTGTGCAAGATCATCATTCTGCTGGGGCCGGGAAAAACTGACTTGCCATGAAAGAATGGGTGTGAAGAGCCGAGAATAAAGGTCGCATGGTGACAGCGATGGCAGAGCCAATGGCGGTGACTAGACATGTGCGACTGAGCCATACGATCAGGTAAACTGGGTTGTGAAGAACGCACGTCCAGAACCACATGAAGTCAAGGCAATGAGGCTGACCAGCCATGGGTTCTTGATCAGAATCCAAATTCTCCGGGCGTAAAATAGCTGAGCCATCATTGAGATGACGCCCTACATGAACTAAGTCACGAGTGGGGACATATGCAAGAGCGAGGAACTCACAGAGAACGCATGCTCCGAGGCCTGTACTACTCAAGCAAAGTGCATATGCGGCTGTTAATGAACCGGCACGCTCGAGCATGGCATTTTGGCCGTGTACTTACGCCAATTAGCTCGCGTAAGAGCTTCGAAGTTGCCTGCGATCCTCGTTCCAGAGATGATAAATGGTACGCGTTATGCAGGAACGCACCGAAGTTATTGATGAGGGTGATATATATCCAGGCAATATTGAACGCAGTGTTGAGGGTGTCAGCTGAGATCAGAAGGCCAACCTACGTGTGCGCTCAATATGAATGCATGGTCCAACGGTATGAAGAAATCGTGGCGTACATATATTTTCAGCCACAACGGGTCTCTGATACTTATGTCAGCGTGCCCGCATTGATGCGAGGGTAGTAGGAGGACATACTTAGGGTATCTGGTGTAATATATCTGCGCTTGGACCAATACAACGCCGTAAAGTCTGTAAGCAGTCAGAGAGCGCACAACATTCCTACAACAGATACTTACAAGATGTTCAGAAAAATGCCGAGCAGGCAAGGACCTTGGCTGGTGAGTGCGTAAGTTATTGTTCCGAACTTCTGTGAGGGGCAAATTCGCACATCTCGCGAGCAGTGGTAAGGTCGGGACCATAGTCAAACATCGCGAAGTCCGAGGTGAGAGCAGGCATCTGAGTGGCCTCAGTGCTATTTATATGAAACCGCTTGACGGCGGGCGGCGATCTGCATCCCGCTCCGGTGGCTCTTGTCGCCGAGACAACATCGATTCTGTGATGGCCGACGACCGGCGGGCGCTCGCCGAGTTCGAACTTGTCAGAGTGTCGTTGGTTCCGCGGTATTCACGTACACGGGCCATCGTCGCCCTGCCTTGCACATATGTCTGGACGTTCAGATCTTCAGAGCTCAATGAAAGCAAACGCCGAAGCTACGCCGACTCCGTTGTGGACGGAGCGCCGTCATGATCGTGATTGACAATCCCCAGAGCTCGGTCCCGAACTCCTCCCTTATTCGCCGCTGCCTCGGCTTGAGTCCGCACCTGGAGGATGCCTACAAGCCTTGGGAACGAATATTGGGGCCGACGTCTAGTTTGCGCTCCTCGTCCTGGCTGAGGTGGCTCTGGTCTTAGCTAGTACCATTGATGCGCTCTGATATTTTCGTGCGGTGACTATGAGCATGCCAGTGCACGACCCCAGGCCTCACCGATACCTTTACCGAGCTTAGTCCGTTATGTAAATGATCGCAGCAGCAGAAAGTCTCGCTATCGCAACGCGCAGGTCTCTGTGTGAATCACTGCGCATTGTGACGTCGCATCTGTTAGATACGCTATTAGTATGAGAATCATCAGCAAAACCGCCAGCTCTTGGCGGCCGTCTTGGGCTTGAGGGGCCGTCTTGGGCTTGACACGGGTGTCTTGAAGCGTCTTGAGCTTAGCAGGCTGTCTTGGGAACTACCTTGGGCTGGAGTATGAGATAGTATGATATGCACTGAGCATTGGAGGTTATATATTGATTGGCCTGAAGTACTCTGTCGTATCCCTGCACACAGTATGTGAGGCAATGTGCTCGGAGTCTCGTCAATGCGTCTGCGAGCCGCGGGGACCCTTAAGCGCCAACTCCCTTCGGGCACTTAGAGTTGTCGGAAGCTCCCGGAGATGTTGACTTGTTGATTTGCCACGACTTCCCTTCTCCCTTCCAACAGTCACGTCCCTCTTCCGCGGTTGCACTCCACCATCGCTAACATAAC